AGCTCTGGCCCCGCGGCAGCGGGGATGCCGGTCATCCCCCTCCCAGCCTGGTTTCTTTCTTGCCTGAACAGCAAAGCCCCCAAAGCTGAGGCAAAGATCCCTCTGTGCCGACACCCTTAACGCATCGCAGCGTGCAGCACCACGCCGCCAGACCAGCACGCGGCGGGGCTGAAGGGCTCCGCGCTTGTCAGAACAAAACTAAAATGGGCACAAAGTGCACAGCAAGGCAACAGACACCGGTTCAGCTAAAAGCAGGGACCCTCTTCTCCCACCTGGGCCCCCTCTGTGCACCCGCCCCAGGAAAATGTGGTGAAAGCGCAGGGTCGCAGGCCTCTCCCCTACCTTCCCTAGCCGCCACTGAGCTCGACTTGTGTCTGTGAGACCCGGAGATCCGCTTCCTCGGAGGAGAACTGCTGCCCCGGCATGAGTCCTTGCTGCTTTTCCTCTTCTTCTTCTCCTTCCTCTCCTGTCTGCTCCGAGAATCGCTTTTGCTCCTGCTTCGCGATCGCTTCCGAGACTGGCTGTGGGCCATCGTGCGTCAGCCCCTGGGGGGGGAACGGGCTGCGTCAGTGCCACGGGGGAGACCACCCTCGCTCAGCAGCAACGCGTCCGGCAGCCCCAAAAACCTTAAATCCAACCCTGAGCCAACCAGCCCTGGAAGACCTGCTCCCGAGTCCCCCTCTGAAGACAACGCTCATGCCTGCTCTCGATGAGCTCCCCACGTGCAGGGGTAGGTTGGGGTTACCCATCACACAGCTGTGGCTAAACTGAATTTCACCAACGCACGGAATGGAGCCCTCAGCAGAGAGCTGGGGCCGCGCGGGGACAGCACTGCGATCCCCGGGCAGCCCTCGCCCGCCTCGGGACAACCGTCTCCAAGCAGGTTGGGCATGAAACCTCCGCCAGGCTTTCCCTGCGCTTCTCGCATTTGTCCCTAGATGTGATGACTAAGAGAGAATCGGGCTGATCCCCGCCGGGGTCGGGGTTTGCAGGCGACGCTGTGCCCCACGGCCCCGGGGGACAACCCCTGGCAGCCACGGGCCGTGATCGCCCCGTAAGCCTGGGAGCCGTCGGGAGGAGGCGACGCGCTGCACCTGCAGACGGACGCCGGCAAGGTACGATCGATGCTGCGGCGACAGTCAGCAGAATGAATCGTCCTCTCCAAGCTGAAGACGGAGTCGATCACCCCGTTATTTAAAATGTCACGAGCAGGCACGGGCCAAGGGGAGGAATGAATTTTTAATATTCCAATTTGCTTTTAGAAAACAGACTATGCATTGAGCTGGCATCCCCGTCCATCAGCCCGACCGGCTGGCAGCAGGCTGCCAGCAGCCACAGACCAGAGACGGCATGATATACGCTCTCATTAATTTAAAAAACAAACTGGCACCGTTGGCAGAGCAGTATCTGGGAAATGCTTTCTCACAGCCACCTTCCAACTACAGCATTTAATTAAATGTTTACCACCTCGACGGTCCCAAGCGGCGATTCGGTCCCAAGTGAATCGGACCTTTGATTGATTTCCAAACGGCAATTTCAATCAGAAAAAAAAAA